CCCCAAAACCCCAAAACCCCAAAACCCCAAAACCCCAAAACCCCAAAACCCCAAAACCCCAAACTGGACAATTTATATTGGAACGTAAGTCTTCACTATTTAATAAATATTCTTAACGAAGTTAATTCCTTATCTAAATGTAAGTATATTCAAAGCTAGTACCTGCACTGAGCAGGCTTAATCAGAAGCTGAAGCATAGCTAATATTTTGGTATAGACATCATGACTACAGAATTTTCAATCTTTAATAGAGACCAAATCGATGAACTCTTTGATCTACATGGTAAGTCAGCATTTTCAAGGATTTTATCATACTGGCTCTTTAGACAAGAGGTTTTTATACTTGTTCAAAAAGATCTTGAAAGACTACCAAAGAGTTGTTCACGACTTTTAGTGTGAACATTATGCTTGTATTAGTTGCTAATTCCATAGTATGAATTTTATTCAATCCAGCCGTTATAAGATTGCTAATTTAACCTTTGGTTTTAAAACAGCCATGGAATTCTATAACAGCATGATAAGGCAGACGATACTACCCTCCTAGAGGTGCTAGCTTTAGTCTTTAGCATCAATAGAAGAACCCTTCACCACCTTATAGGTTCGAAAATAAAATGTGATTTATGAATTTTTCGAAAAATTCTTCAATCTAACTCTTTTAAATCGATACTATACCCTAGCTCAGTTCAGGGAATCTTTTAGCCATAATTACAGTGCCTCAAATACCTCCAAAGCCTGCATAACTGCTTTATATTAGCAAACCTTGATAGGAAGATTTCTCATAATTCACTTTCCGGAATATTTTCTTCTAAACTTACTTATAAAGAAATGTAAACATTAAGAATTTTTCATAAAAATTATTGGTCTTATCTCACTTTTTAGAAAGTTCAATGAATGAGGATACCAATGTACTTATGCATCAAGAAGAGCGCTTTGATGATTTCAAAGTCCAGTCGTTTCAGAACTGCAACATAGGAGTTACAAACGAATCATCTGAATTAAAATGAAACTTCTCACCACTCAGCAGAAACTTCCCGTTTTACAGTGTACAAGAGAAGGAAAACTCAGTAACAGGAAAACAGCAAGAAATCCCTAAAGAAGCCGATGAACAGGAGGATGACTCTTTCTTAGTCCTTGCGCTTTCTCCTTCAAAAAGACAACTCTCTGGTTCTTCTCTTGAGCATCCTGTTGAATTCTCCTTCAGCTTATCAAAATCTGCAAATTTTCCAAAAATGGTTTCAGTTTCTTCAAGTTCTCAGCAAGAAGCTGTAAATAGCAAGAAGAATTATGAAAACATTGTGGATAATCTCGTTACCAGTTGCAAACAAAAATGCAAGGTTAGAAGAGATGTCATCAACAAGAGGATCATCAGGTACTTCAGAAAGTATATCAGAGAACTTAGCCCAGAGCACAAGATGCTCTGAAGAATCACGAAGCCTATTTCTCAACTCAAGAGCGAAATGATCGATCGAGCTATCCACCTCGGGATATTGAATGAAGACTCAGACGAAAGCTTTAAGGAATATCTTTGTTGGATGTGCACTTATAAGAAGACAGATAAGGTTAACAAGATATTTGATCTATCAAATCCTTCTATTAAGTTGTCTTCGGATTTATTCCTGAAATATACCCACTTGAAGCTCGACCTCGCCCTTGAGAACAAAAATATCGCATCAATGTTCATGTTTTTCATCAGGAACAAAAGAGAGGAGTTCCTTTCTCAATTCTCTGAAGATCTGAGGAAGGTTTACTCAGATGGACTAAACAGTCTAATTACAAAGGCTACTCTAAATCTTAATATTTGTTAATAAGCATTAAGGTAATTTTTAAACTCTCATCAGAACCCAGTCGATGTGTGATGTACTGTCTAGAAACATCAAAAACAGCTTCACCAATTGGGCTGGGTAAAAGGCCACTTAAAGATCTATCAGTGTTAAGCCTCAGCATACTTAGAGACTTTTCGTACTAAAATAACTAAAATTCAGAACCCTGAGATTAAGCCTCGTTTATTGCTGGATACTTTTAAGCAATTTATTACAATTTAAAAAATATGAACCTCCTCTTCATATTCTATAAGTTTTAGAAGAAGAATATAAAGCTTCTTGGGGTTAACATGAATTAGTGGCTTCACCTTTCAGCCAAGAAATTTCAATAATAGGTGTTAAAGACCTCGTCAGAGATCGGTAAATTTATAAAAGTTTATCTACATCAAACGGGAGATCGGATAATTACCGAATTATTGATGACTTTAGCAATAGCTTTAATGATCAACTTTGTCTTTTTATCTGAATAAATTACTAGATTAGAAAATTAATTGAACCAATTAAACGGTACCTCTAAGGTTAAATTTTATCCTGACTCATATTTTTGCTATATATCTTCTATCGAGGCTTTGGTATGAAGAATCAATAGAAGTCTGTAATTTGGTCATCAGAAATCTTGAATTATAAACCTCATTTAACCTCTTGAAGATTATGAAACTTTCTGAAATTGGAAAATCATAATAATTTTCTGAGATTCCTTGATTCTCTACAGAAATTAGAATATCGCTAACAAGAAACTATCTAAAACTCTGCTTAATAATCAAAAGAGGGCCTAAGAGTACTATTTCAGTTAATGGATGCCTACCAAGCCCATAAAGTATGCACTTCACCAATCAGGATAGTATAATTTTCCCTTTACTTACCTCAGGAATTCCTCAAATTTGTACTGCAAAAGCCCTTAAATTTCTAACAGAGTTGACAAACAAGAGAATTCAGCTGGGTTTCTGCTAAGCTGGTTGCTGAACTAGGTGAGTTCTTCATGTACGAACTTTTCTGAAATCTTCTGGGAAATTTGGTCATTGATCTGGTGATCTGTGCCACTTAAAATTATAGCTCTATAGAGAACAGAAGGAAGCAAAAGATATTTTTGGGCATTGTAGTTGGCAGCTTTAGAGAAGGAGAAAGAGAATTTAAGAGATTTGAGGGGGGTTTGGATGATTGGGGTGATCGCTGTGTTCAGTTTTGTAGAGGGGCTTAGGTATTATTGGGAATTTAAAAAGGGTTGTTATAGAACTGTTACAGTTTTATAGAACTTGTATTTGGACGAATGATTGTTGTTCTTTTGTTGAAGTTGGTATTCTTGGAAGGGATGAGAGGGATGAAAGAGAAGAGGCAGAGAAAGTGCTAGTAAGTACTAGTTGTTCAAATTATGAAGAATTTCAAATTTTCGATAAATTTTTCTTTTAACCCCATACTCTCCCAAACACTTTCAAACCCTTCTTTCTCATCCTCCCTTCCCTTCAAACTTCTTCCCCCCTCATTTCCCCCTTCCCTCTTCAAAACCTCCTTCCCAAACATTCAACCTCATTCTCGCTCAAAGGGGTTTTGGGGTTTTGGGGTTTTGGGGTTTTGGGGTTTTGGGGTTTTGGGG